TGTAAGGCACGAAGCATATAATCAAAGGCACTGAATTACACATGTAGAAGCTGTTGCATTAGAGAATGTTTTGTTGTGTGTATTTTTGTCAGAATTAAAAAAATAATCACACAAGTAACAATGAGCACAGGGAAGAAGGGAATGTTCTAAAATGGATGGTGGTGATTGTACCACTCTTCTTGGTACGATTACGCCGCTGAAGTCTAGGACAGGTGGATGAAGGGCCAACCAAACTGTGAGACCAAAACGAAAGGGAAGAAAACCAGTCCTCACTAGACCCACTGGTGACATCACTGGAGGCAAGATTGACGCTGTCACGGATTTCGTCCTGCTTGGGTCCACAGTCACATGTTCATGGAAGCAGCGGTCAAGGAGGCAGACGCTCCGCACTGAGTAAATCTGCTGCACAGGAGCTCGTTAACGTGTCCAAGAGCAAAGGTGTCACTGTAAGGACTAAGGTGTTGACCTGACCCAAGCCACAGTATTTTGTCTTATTTTTTAAATCATTTTATTGGGGACTCATACAACTCTTATCACAATCCATACACACATCGATTGTGTCAAGCACATTTGTACATTTGTTGCCATCATCATTCTCAAAACATTTTCTTTCTACTTGAGCCTTTGGTATCAGCTTCTCATTTTCCCTCCTTCCTCCCCGCCTCCTTCCCTCATGAACCCTTGATAATTTATAAATTTTTATTTTTTCATGTCTTACACTGACCGATGTCTCCCTTCACCCACTTTTCTGCTGTCCATCCCTCTGGGAGGTTATATATAGATCCTTGTGAACAGTTTCCCTTTTCTTCCCCTACCTTCCCCTTATCCTCCTGGTATGGCTATTCTCAATATTGGTCCTGAGGGGTTCATCTGGCCTGGGATTACCTGTGTTTCCAGGTCTTATCTGTACCCGTGTACCTGCGATATTTTCAACTGCCTCATATGCATGTCAAAGTTGGACAATGAATCAGACCAAAGAAGAATCCACTCACTTTAATGACGGTCCTGGTGAAAACTATTCAGAGTACTGTGGATTACCAAGAGAACAAATCAGTCTGTCTTGGGGAGTAGTAGCCTCTCTAGAATCGGGGACAAAGACCATCTCGCATCCTTTGGACATGCTATCAGGAGAGACCAGTCCCTGGAGGGTAACATGCTCGACAAAGTGGAAGGGCAGCGACAAAGTTGAAGATTGTCAAGAAGGACTGACACAGTGGCTGCCACATGGGCGCAGAGGACGACGGTGATGTGGGGCGGGCGGCCCAGGCAGTGTTGGTTCTTTGCACACAGGACCGTAATGAGCCGGTACTGACGGCATCCAACGACAACAGCCGCCTCTCACAGGGGCTTGTGAGCTTCTCCAAACACATAGCTAACCCCCCCC